TACACTGCCATAATAAAATACTTTTAATATTCCAATATATTTCGATGCATATTGGAAGTCAACACTCCTGTTATTAATAGTAGTAATAGTATAATCAAAACCAAGCGCTAAACCCACAAGGGTCACACAGCAAATAATAGTATTATTTATTATTATACAGCGCCTGTGGGGGGAGAGGGAATTGAAGGTATTCATCAGGGTTAATTCAGGGAACTGGAGCACAGATCCAGTTCCCTAGATCAAGAGCCCCCTAACCAGCATAAGGAACCTTCCTTGAGGGGATTATAATAATAGTAGTATTAATATATTCACAAACGAGCACTAAATCTGGTTGGGTCAGATTATAAAAATCAATATTACTAAGCCTTTCTATTTTATAAACAGGTCACACCATATGGTGCGGCTACTTTGATCTATGTGGCAGGAAATAAATTTCAGGCTATGATGTCATGTTTTGAACCCGCATTAAAGCAGGATTTTCTGAGGGCAGACCGTGTAAAAATGTCAGGGGGCTTACCGTATTTTTATTTAAGAGGAGAAGCACTGAAACATACAGAGATCGCCGCTAGGGAGGTGCCTTGATTCCAGGGAGATTTGTTTTTTTTTCACACAGCAGTCTCCCACCAAGGTAGGGTTTCGTGAAAAGGAAGAAACACCTTCACCATTACTTTATTATTGTACTGCCATATTCCCACTCTTCAGAGTGTAGGCACTATATTTCCCACTTCCAGGACTCAGTCTGGCTAACTGGTTTCCCTAAATCTCTTCATGAATGCTACCTTGCTTAAACTCAAACAGCACATTGTCATAAAAGCTACTTGCCTCCACTTCTATTTAACATGCACATGCCTGCTGGATATCCAAGCCCTTACATGCAAAAACTTCCTTTACTCTCCTCCCACGAATGATGACCCCTACACCTCCTTCCCTTTACTACAGATTTATTCTATTTTTCTTAATCCTCTCCGAATGTCCAATCCACCTCAACAGCTTCTACTCAGCCCTCTGGAGAATACTTTTTGTATCCCCATGCCTCCTTATCTCCAAACTATGAATTTTCTGTATAATTACACTATACATTGCCCTCAAACATGACATCACTGCCTCCAGCCTCCTCACTGGAACATTTAAAACTCATGCTACACGCCCATACACGTGTGAGTACTATATAGATCCTCCTCGACTTGCGTCCAGGTTCCGTTCCGACTGGTCGGATCTCGAAATGGACAGATGTTGGAAACATTCTTTTAGCCTAATAAATTTGTCATGATTTTTTTTTTTATCAACCTGCTTTATTACCTTAAATTTCATTACTCACAAACTGATGTTCCTTACTTGTAGGCATCATTCATAGGCTTCACAAATAAAAATGCTCTATGAAATGTAGCCTAGGCTCGGTCATACATCCGCCCCTGGCACTGGTGGATGTATGACCAAAGTTAATACGGCCAGTTTGTTGAAAAAATACATATATTTTTCTAATTTAGTGTATTTTTCGGTCTAATGTGAAGATGGATGAAAGTCGCATAGGTTGGAAGTTGGGGAGGAACTGTACTCTGGTACATTTCCCTTTTTACCTCCATGGATAAAATTATTTGTCTACACGGATGCCTCAAGCCCCACCCATCTCTCTTTCCTTGTCAGTTTTATGGTTCTTCTCATCGTTCGTAGATAATCCACCGACAAGTCCACTCCCAAATATCTGAACACATTCACTTCCTCCATACTCCCTCCTTCCAATCTGATATCTAATTTTTCATTATCTCACTCTTTTCCACATTCACTTTTAAGTTCATCCTTTTACACGCCCTCCAAAACTCATCTTCCAACCTTTGCAACTTCCATTCGGAATCTTCCAAACACACATCAGCAAAATGCAACTGTGACAACTTTCACTTTGTATTAGATATAACTAAGCACTAAACCCATAGGGGTCATACAGCACTGCTGTATTAGATAATTTATCTTTTAATCCCACACCTCTCCACACACAGCATTCACTTCTTTTAAAACTCGATCTATAAATATGTTCAACATCTATGGTGACTTACACACATTCCTGTCAAATGCCTACTTTTACAAGAAAATAATCTCCCTCTCTCCTACATACCCTAAATTGAGCCACATATCCTCAAAAATTGCTTTAAATAACCTACCACCTGTTCCATACACTTGGAACATCTGCCACATTGCTCCCCTATCCACCTTACCATATGCTTTTCTAAATCTGTAAAGGCAATGAAAACTTCCTTACCTCCTCCTAAATATTGTTCAATGTAACCACTTTGTCTACACATCCTAGCCTTCCTAAATTGTAATAATCATAACTGAGTGTAAAGTAAAAGGACATAAGTGCAACTAATGTGACATTTTATTGTGGCAACGTTTCACTCTCCAGGAGCTTTGTCAAGCTGTTACAAACAATACATGGACACAGAGGGTATATAAAGGCTCAGAGTGAGGTGCGATACTAGTGAGGTACCATTTCGATGTTGTAGTAGTAGTGACAAAAGTTGTAGTAGTAATACAATATGGTAGAGCAATTAATTCGTACATGAGTAAAAGGATATAAAAGTTATTACTTGGGTAACATAAAAATAGGTTGGACAAATGTAATGGCTTGATGAAGCTCCTGGAGAGCGAAACGTTGCCACAATAAAATGTCACATTAGTTGCACTTGTGTCCTTTTACTTTACATATTGTTGGTAATTCTACCAACTTTATTACAATAACTGAGTGCTAAACCCACAAGGGTCATACAGCCACCCTTCCTAAAACCTCCTCGTCTTACCCTTAATTATTTTAAAAATGTCTCTTCCATACACTTCACCTTGATATGATCCCCTGAAGGTTTAGCCCTTCTCCATGAATGTGACAATAAAAAGGCATAAAGTTAGTATAATGCCTGAGGAAGAAGGCATCAGGGTCAATCAAGGGTGAGATTAATCAAGAGCCCTTCACCTGCATTAATACACCGTCTTTAAATGTCAGGGCCTTACACACCGTATTATAATCAACTGAAGCAGTAAACACAAGAGGGTCACACAACTCCACAGGAAGGGATGTGCGAAAGTACAAATATGCAAATGGTATGTGCTCTATATTAAGAATGGCTCCCTGTGAATGCTTTATAAATACTAAATACTGTAACTAAAATATAATTTGTCACTTAAGGTTCATGTAGTGAATATACATGCAAATTATCAGGCATTACTTAAAAAAAAATCACAGGATTAAAGAAACAATAATTTGGACATGGAATACTGGAGAAATTTATTTCATTATCCATATAATGCAATACATTTTCTTGAGGCAACTAATACAAATAAGTTTTGATATTTTTTAAATATTGTAGAAAATTTTGTAATTTATCATATTTTTGTAATAACTGCATATATTTTGCTTAACATTTTTCTGAAACTGTGATGGGTATTACAATATGTTATCCATAATTTTCCTAATATACACGAGTAGGTAAATATAAATTTATATTAATGTATTAAAAATAAAATCAATTTGTAGACTGTTTCCCATACTTCCCCATACATTCAGTCAATGGGTTTTAGCAACTAAATAATATTGTTGGGCCAAGAAATACAAAATATTTCATGGATCTGAGGGGGATGGTAAACAATGTGGCAATAATGTATTTGTTAACTGCATGACTTTCACTACCAAAAACTATGGTCGACATGAGGCAAAAATAACAGTGCTGAGCCAGCAGTGATTGTGTCAACTAGTGGAAGATGTGTTCAAACTAGGAAGTGCCTGACAACTCTTCCTTACAAAATGCCTTTTTTTAGCCATACAGAAACCTTCTCTAAAAGTCCCTGAATTAATATTAAACATGAAAATAAGGTAGATAATGGATTCGGTATCAATTAGAAGTATTAAACACGCTCTACTAAAAGAAGTACAGTAATACAAATTTCTCAATTGTATGCATGGCAGATATTCATCATGTATGGTTTCAAAAATATCTGATAAAATAATGTACAAAAAATGCCAGCTTATAAATAACTAATAAATACAAAATGTTAAATGCTTAAGAATGAGGAAGCATTAAACTTCAAACCCAGATATTTAAGATTACATACATGCCATTTACTTGTGTGAATGCAATTACATACAAGCATGCACGCGCGCGCACACAAAGGGTTTAAAAATAGATATGACGGGCTGTTTTATGTCAGTTATTTGAAAGCAGGGTCCCGAGCTAGAGCTCAACTTTCTCAAAACAGAAAGAGGGAGGGGTGAAATGCATACTACCAAACTTTTTTTATTTTTAAAGATACAACTTGGAAAACTATTTAACAAATGGGAAAATCAAGCTGGGTTAACAGGAAAGGTATTTGAATGGATACAGGGAGTACTTAGCAGCAGCATAAACTGAGTAACTGTAATGGATAAAAGATCAAGATGGGAGGGTGTAACTAGCTGAGTCTCACAAGGATCTGTATAGGGCCCAATATTGTTCTTTGTATATTTAACCTCTCTATTAACAGGAAATTACTCGTATATATTCTTCATGCCAAAATAATGAGAATAATACTAACTGAATATACAATAAGGCTGCAGAAAAAATTGGAACAACTTAGGAATGATCAAATAATTGGCTACTTGAGTTTAAGGGTAGCAAAAGCAAGGCTATGAAGCTGAAAGAGAGGAAATACAAAAACAATACTATTCAAAGTAAAAGAAGGTGAAATTTAACAAAATCCAAATGAATTCATGATGGTGCTAATGAGCTATTAAGAAAGAATGCAAATGCTAGGCCTTCTGTCTCCGGAAGAACAAAGGCCAAGAGGCATACGATCAAAAAAAAAAAAAAAAAAAAAAAAAAAAAATCTGATCATAAACAAGGATAAGTTCTTAACCAGAATAAACATGAGGGCATGGTAAGAAGCTGCACACCATATAACCAACAGAGATATCAGAAAATGACATAAGTCCCTAAACATGGGTAAAAAAGAAAATATGGAACGAATATTTTGTTGGTCAAAAAAGAGGTGGGACTAAGAGCTAGAATTTACAATTAAAATAATGAGATACTGACTGGAACAAGTGTCCATATAAAAGTCAAATATATATATATCAAAATATTAATGTGACGTGCATGGTTGAGATAAGCACAAATGTGTTTGGTATGGAAATACACTCAATAATAGATGAAGAGTTAAGATTTCTTTTGAAGATATTATTGCTGAAAAAATGTAAATAGATATGATAATAACCACTAACAAACACACACTAATTAAGACCACATGATATAGCTAGCATACAATGATCTGTTATACAACAGTGCTTCACCTTCCTATAAATATATAAATAATTAACTAAGTAAGCACACAGAGGTAATCACAAGAGGCAGACAATTCAGTAATGGAAATCAGTCAATGTTTCAGTCCATGATGGTCTGCACCATTGTTTAGTTTCATTTCCAATTCACAAGTTTGTGATTTTCTATGTGTTGACTTGTATTCTAAACGAAGAGGTATATATAATGCTGACAATTTAAGCTGCACAAAAACCTTCCTTTGGTATTTAATTTGTTTTAAATAATATGCTAGTATGATGTTGAAAAAAGTGCTAGAAAAATGTTTTCGAGTACCAGCATCCTATCATAAGTGATATAACCAGGTATCAAACTTATTATACTTTAGTACACAGTACCTCCAAGTTTCTGCACAAAGTCGACAAAGATAAAGTGCTAATTAAAACTGACAAAACTAGGTTTTCAAACAGGTCTGTACTTTGTTTCTCCTAAAGCATCTCCTAATTTTTTTTTCCACAAAGTTGAAATCGGGGTAAAATAATACTGTTTGGGTATTTGAAAATCTAACACCTACATCTATTTATTATAAATACATTTTTTTTAAATTTACATAAACTAAAAAATGAGATGCCATCCATTTTGTAGACTGCTTATCCAGCATTAACAAATACAGAAAACTTGAAATATTTTTGACTACTTTCTTTAATTTAAATTATAGAAAAAAAAAGTGCAAACAGCCAGATGATTTATGATTTACAGCCTACTGATTACATGAGGATCATCAAGGCTGCATTTTCCATGTACTCTACCAATCAAGAATACCTTAATCCCTACACTAGGGTATTCAAGTAAATTCTCTGTATATACACTGAGATACAAACCTCTTACAACCAGAAAGTGAAATGATGAGGAAGACAGTAACAAAAATAAATGATATAGAAAATGAAGAAAAAGACACAATAATTATGAATAAAAGATAAAGTTGGGAAACTGTGATGCTTAAAGATTAGAAACAGCATGTAGTGTACACACAAAGGTAAAGGAGAGGAGTTAGAGAACGTGTAAACTGATGTCAGATTGTGAAGGAAGTTTTAAATGAGATTCATTATGTACTGCAATGAAAGACTTTATGGATATTGGTAAATAAACTACAGCAAGTTTGTTTTCCTTAGACATTACAGATATCTCTCCTAAAATAAAATTATTCAACGCACAGTATAAATAAACTTCATACTGCTCATCAAAAATACTTCTTGTGGCTTCAAACACGTTTAGAAGCCGTCTATCATACTGGACCACAAAACTTGTATTAAACCTAGGAAATATTCTACAAATTATCAATATTAGTATGAGAAGAAAAAATTAGGTACACACCATGAAGCTGTTATTATTTGATATTAATATAATAACAGTATATTGCTATGATCAAAAATTGTAACCTTAGTAAGCCCTTGATTTAATGTAATAATAGCAAGGCGTGGGTAGCTGGTAATGACAAGTGGAGCTGATAAAAATGAGTTTATTTTGCAGTGATCATAACAATAACAATAAGTACAGTAATTCTGCAACTTATGAACTTTGTCCATTGCTTCTGATTCGTTTGACTTGGCAGGTTTTGTTCCACATTTCCAAAGTCCACTATATCGATAGTTTACTGAATTCTGAAGGATCCAGGGAACTTTTGTATCCACCACCTGTAGACTACTTGTAAATGATCCTGGGACTATTATCCCAGCAGCCTGGTCTTAGACCAGGCTGGTCTGGTCTCAGACCAGGCTGCTGGTAGATGCCCCAGTCTGTTAGTTTTAGCTTCCTGCATTCAAATGTAGGCACCACAGCAAAAATTTCTTGACTAAGTCAGTGATGGTCTGTAATCAAATAACTTGGTAAAAGATTTACGTATATACAACACTATCTATACTAATCCTCTAAATATTATACAATATAGGGAACACATTATATGAACACAAGCAATTTCATTCAATTACTAATCAATACTTTTTTACTATGATAATTAGCATGACAAATGCTTGCCACATAACTTTTCAAAAATTAATCCAGAAGAATTACAATCTCTATATTAATTGTAATGATAGCCTACACTTGTTCATCAAAATCCCATCACTAATCCCCATTTTAAGAAGAGGGATTAGCACTGCATTATTAGTATTATATCGTTAAGCAATAGCATAGATGTTGCATCCATCTCATCTTTCAATAAGATGACCAAGGATTGGAAGGGAATCTCAGATCCACCTACAGGCAGTCTATAAAGTTGGGCAAGTAGTCTACCTTCTTGATATACATCTCTCATCAGTATAACCAATTACCAGCTCTGCATTTTGTGTATTAATAAACAACCTCTAAGCTTATAGGGATCACAAAGTGTCAGGGGAATGGAAGGAAATCAAGTTTGATCTGTGGTAGGGAAGGGGTAGCTTCAATTCCTTGAAGCATAAGCCCCTTGTAAGGTGAATCTTAGGATATCTACAGGATTCCAGTGCAGGGAGAAAGATGTAAGAAAGATGATGATCTTTAAGAAGCATACATAAATAACATTAGAAGAAAGAAAATGGGGAAATGCATGCAAGCTGAAATTCAACGCAGGCAAAAAAAAATACTACAATATATACATTTACCAAATGCAATTTTCCTATTAAATCACAAAAACTGATGAACATCTAATACATATGCTCTCCCTGGACAAAACAATATATATTCTGATTATTAGTTTATTTTTCCCAGTAATACTAAATACCCGAACATGTTTTGCATGCAAGTATTCTGACGTGTAATTAATTATACGTGTGACTTGTATTGCGTTCAGTATTTCACTTATTTCTATGACAGCAAGGTGTACCAATATATTATTGTGGGTACAAATGATTATGTTGCCAGTCTTTAGGACCATCTGACTACACAGTCAAATGTATCCCACATAGGAATACCAGTTGAACATAAGAAAGATTGTACTGTTCTTAGATGAAAAAAAAATTAACTACAAAATAATAATTTCTTACAAGTGAACAGTACAGTATTTCAACTTTCAAAATTATTATGCTTTAAATATTTTGTTAATGTAAATGACATAAAATCTTCCTATGCAACAATAATTTTTTAAATATCACCTAGAGTATACTTAATAGTTTTAAATTATATACTTTATCCCTTTGCCTATTTTTGGCATGAAAAATATTTTCAATTTTTTTCTGAACAGGCTTCCATTTAAACATTATTTTCCTTTCAACAATTAAGTACAGTATAAAATTAGCACCAATAAAATCACACTGCCTTTTTAATTTGCTAAAAAAAATAAATAAGTGGAAAAACTTTGATAAATAAACCAATTCTTAAATGCTCATTAGTAAAATGAAGTGTGAATTTGGCGAGTTACTCTTAGTGAAAATATAATCTGAAGACCAAAACAAAAAGGCTATGTGTTAAAAGAAACTCTTGACTTCTCAATTATGTCAGTGTGTGGAAGTATTTCTCAAACACTAAAAAAAGCTACCAACTTAGTAGAAAAGATCATAAATGACAGTGGCTTGTTTCACTACTGATAATATATATGAATGTTATTCTAGTACTGTATATATGTACAAGCTGCAAGATGCAATTTGAGCTTTTTCTTTTTTTTTTTTATTAACCTAGACCTTCGAGACAATCTTAAACAGCATAAAGTTACAATGCGTCAAAGCTCTAGTGTTATTTGCTTAATAAAATTACACAGGATGACACTAAACTGAACACTTACCATAAAATATAACACATTTCATTTAGTAATTGTTTGTATTGTAAGCTAACTTTCTTTGGTGATTGGTTCTTTCCTCGCTAGATTAGTATATAATCTCCAAGATTAAATTTTAGCGTGCATTCCTTTCCACCTACAATGTTATTTTTCAATAAACAAAAACATTTATTGTTTATCACTTAAGGAGCTGCTACTAAATATCATCGATTCTGAAAACAAACATTTTTCAAAGTACATATTGTACAATGTGAAGGGACATCCGCTGTATAATTGTATTCTGACACAATTGGGGACACTTGTCTTTTGCAGAGAGAATTCCAAGTGTTTTAGGTCACTATCTTGGTTCAGATTCATATCAATTTTGTCTTGATGAAATATTTAAACCATATATTTTTCTAGAGGTATTGCACAGTATTACAAATAAGTAGCTATACTGAATTAATGTCGGTATTTCATTCACATTGCTAAATGTGGTGAAAAAGTTGAGTATACCTTCAAGAGTTAAAAAATAAAAGAGTTTGCACTGATATATCTTGGGTACTGAAAAGTTTTACTGAGATCAATTCTCTTTAAGGATTAATTTGCTGGAATGTTGGTTGTTAGTGTGTGCCACTGGAGTTTCCTCTTTTTCCTGCTCCTTGTGTTTCCTTAGACTTTCCAAAATGGAAATAGTTCATTATTGTAAAGTATAGAGGGTAGAAGGTCAAAATTTACATGCCGGCAAATCTTACCCTGTGGTATATCTTAAATCACTGTGATATGCAAATCATCACATTTCTTAACAAGTTCCAAGTAAAATAATAAATCTTTAACACGATGACTTCACTAATCGCTTCAATCATTACTGTAAACAGGTATTAAGTTGTCACACACAGGGGCCTCACAATATGCCAGATAAACACACACAATCACATTATTACTGCACTTGAAGAAATTCATGATTAGAATGAGCTCTTGAGAAGATCTTCCAAGTCATGTTCATAGATGGCAATGATGAGCATGATAGTGGCACCTACCAGCATCCCAAGGCCTTGAAGGAACATTTGGCCAGCAACTCCAAATTCCTCACCTCGATTCACTGAGAGCTCTGGCAACTAGGGAATAAAAAAAAGTAAAAGCTTTAATCTTCAGCAGTGGCATACATGAAGAATATATTTCCTGAGTGTAGCAAGATTTTGAAAAAATCTTAGATCAAAGGAAAGCATTTTTATGAAGTGAATACGATTAAGAGTGGAATCTGATAAAAACTTATTATTTTATGGCATGTTGAAGTTGGCCAAAAAATAATTGCTTGTTGGAGCAGCAATATAAATGTGCCATTGATATTTACATTTTGCAATTTATTGATGCCAAATTGCTTTTCAGTTCTTTATTGTTTTTAATTTTTAACATTATGTACAATAGTGTCTTAAGATATGTTTCAAGGCATTTTAGCATTTTTAATATGGGCAACTGCATAGCCCAATATGCTCCACTTGAAATATAGTGGACCCTCGCAAATTCGCGGCTTCAGTAATTCATGGATTTTTCCTTAGAACCTAACTAATAATTGTTCATGGAAATGCCCGCAAATTTGCAGATTTCTGGGGCTTTTCCGTGGCAATATATAATTTTTTATGTGTTTTAACGCTAAATATTAAGAAAAATATAATTTACTAATTGGGTAACTTATACTAAAGTAAATTATTACCGTATATTTACTGTATGTATACCAAAGAAGACGGGGTTACAAGAATTACAGTATATAAAAGAAAACAGGCTTACATGAATTACAGTACATATGGGAGTAACATCGGTATTTTACATTCTAGAACTGCGGGAGACACAGCAGTACTGTATGTGGGGTTTATCTTTACGTTCTTCATCTGTTTTATTAAGGGTGATGTATGAAGCAGAGTTTGAAATTAAATTAAAATGTTTTGGGAGCATATTTAGGGTTTAAACTATAAAAATGGGCATTTATAAGCATTTTTTTAGCTGCATCCCAAATTCCCGGTTTCTCCAAATTCACGGGTGGTCATGGAACGTAACCTCCCATGAATTTGGGGGACTACTGTATACAGTATTAATTAGTCAAAAAAAATTTTTTTCAACAAACCGGCCGTATCCCACCGAGGCAGGGTGGCCCAAAAAGAAAAACAAAAGTTTCTCTTTTTAAATTTAGTAATTTATACAGGAGAAGGGGTTACTAGCCCCTTGCTCCCGGCATTTTAGTCGCCTCTTACAACACGCATGGCTTACGGAGGAAGAATTCTGTTCCACTTCCCCATGGAGATAAGAGGAAATAAACAAGAACAAGAACTAGAAAGAAAATAGCAGAAAACCCAGAGGGGTGTGTATATATATGCTTGTACATGTATGTGTAGTGTGACCTAAGTGTAAGTAGAAGTAGCAAGACATACCTGAAATCTTGCATGTTCCTGAGACAGAAAAAAGGACACCAGTAATCCTACCATCATGTAAAACAATTACAGGCTTTCGTTTTACACTCGCTTGGCAGGACAGTAGTACCTCCCTGGGTGGTTGCTGTCTACCAACTTACTACCTATGTAACTGGTCCAAATATTTTTTTTTTTTTATAGTGTATTGGTCTTTAACACTGTTGAAGATCTACTTATGATAATTACAACTTTTTTCAGGTGTAATACCCCTTAAAATATGGAAATAGGTTACATTATTTGATAACCGAGTTATCCTAGATTAATTTTGACGTTATATATAGTATTTAAGTTTGGGAGGAATATCCTGGGTGATATAAACAATAGAATTTACATAACCTGCTCACAGAAGGAAGAAACTTATGATGACATTTCAGTCTGACTAGAACTATTAATTAGTTAAACAGAGGCACAAAGGAAAGGGAGCCAGTATATATATGAGAGGGGAGGGGGGGGGGGAGAATTAGAGAAGGTTATTTGTTTGTTGTTCCAGTTACATATTGTGCCTTTTCATTCTTCAATAAAATTTGTGTCCACAACATCTGAATACATTTAAGACCACTGTAAAACCTATTTACAAAGAAATCTTATATTACAATTGTTTCAAAATGGGGAAATAAGTCACATTTTGGACTCTATTGTGTTATCCTAGGATATATATATATATATTATATAATATATATATATATATAATATATATATATATATATATATATTTTTTTTTTTTTTATCACACTGGCCGATTCCCACCAAGGCAGGGTGGCCCGAAAAAGAAAAACTTTCACCATCATTCACTCCATCACTGTATTGCCAAAGGTGCTTTACCACTACAGTTTTTAAACTGCAACATTAACACCCCTCCTTCAGAGTGCAGGCACTGTACTTCCCATCTCCAGGACTCAAGTCCGGCCTGCTGGTTTCCCTGAACCCCTTCATAAATGTTACTTTGCTCACACTCCAACAGCACGTCAAGTATTAAAAACCATTCGTCTCCATTCACTCCTATCAAACACGCTCACGCACGCCTGCTGGAAGTCCAAGCCCCTCGAACACAAAACCTCCTTTACCCCCTCCCTCCAACCTTTCCTAGGTCGACCCCTACCCCGCCTTCCTTCCACTACGGACTGATACACTCTTGAAGTCATTCTGTTTCGCTCCATTCTCTCTACATGTCCGAACCACCTCAACAACCCTTCCTCAGCCCTCTGGACAACAGTTTTGGTAATCCCGCACCTCCTCCTAACTTCCAAACTACGAATTCTCTGCATTATATTCACACCACACATTGCCCTCAGACATGACATCTCCACTGCCTCCAGCCTTCTCCTCGCAACATTCATCACCTATGATTCACACCCATATAAGAGTGTTGGTAAAACTATACTCTCATACATTCCCCTCTTTGCCTCCAAGGACAAAGTTCTTTGTCTCCACAGACTCCTAAGTGCACCACTCACCCTTTTCCCCTCATCAATTCTATAATTCACCTCATCCTTCATAGACCCATCCGCTGACACGTCCACTCCCAAATATCTGAATACATTCACCTCCTCCATACTCTCTCCCTCCAATCTGATATCCAATCTTTCATCACCTAATATTTTTGTTATCCTCATAACCTTACTCTTTCCTGTATTCACTTTTAATTTTCTTCTTTTGCACACCCTACCAAATTCATCCACCAATCTCTGCAACTTCTCTTCAGAATCTCCCAAGAGCACAGTGTCATCAGAAAAAGAGCAACTGTGACAACACCCACTTTATGTGTGATTCCTTATCTTTTAACTCCACGCCTCTTGTCAAGACCCTCGCATTTACTTCTCTTACAACCCCATCTATAAATATATTAAACAACCACGGTGACATCACACATCCCTGTCTAAAGCCTACTTTTACTGGGAAATAATTTCCCTCTTTCCTATGTACTCTAACTTGAGCCTCACTATCCTCGTAAAAACTCTTCACTGCTTTCAGTACCCTACCTCCTACACCATACACCTGCAACATCTGCCACAATGCCCCCCTATCCACCCTGTCATACGCCTTTTCCAAATCCATAAATGCCACAAAGACCTCTTAAGCCTTATCTAAATACTGTTCACTTGTATGTTTCACTGTAAACACCTGGTCCACACACCCCCTACCTTTCCTAAAGCCTCCTTGTTCATCTGCTATCCTATTCTCAGTCTTACTTTTAATTCTTTCAATAATAACTCTACCATACACTTTACCAGGTATACTCAACAGACTTATCCCCCTATAATTTTTGCACTCTCTTTTGTCCCCTTTGCCTTTATACAAAGGAACTATGCATGCTCTCTGCCAATCCCTAGGTACCTTACCCTCTTCCATACATTTATTAACCCTTTGGCTGTCGCGGCCGTATATATACGTTTTACGAGGTGCCGTGTTTGACGTATATATACTCATAAATTCTAGTGGCTTCAAATCAAGCAGGAGAAAGCTGGTAGGCCCACATGTGAGAGAATGGGTCTGTGAGGTCAGTGTGCACCATATAAAAAAAATCCTGGAGCACGCAGTGCATAATGAGAAAAAAAAAACTCCGACCGTTTTTTTTAATTAAAATGCCGACTTTGTGGTCTATTTTCGTATAGTATTTATGGTTGTATTCTCGTTTTCTTGGTCTCATTTGATAGAGTGGAAAACATATTACAGAATTAGAGATATTTTTGATTAATTTTACTATAAAAAGAACCTAGAAATGGAGCTCAAAGTAGGGGAAATGTTTGATTTTTGCCAATGTTCAAAAGTAAACAAATGATGCCATTGTCCAATAAATGTCCAACTAGCCATTCTAATATGCAGTCATGAATGGGTTGATGTTATTTATACAGTTATTACAGCATTGCAGTAGTCTGCATAATAGTAAGTCTAATATTTTTTGTTTGAATAAAAATTCAAAATAGAAAGCAAGAGTAATATCAGAGGGGCCTGGAGACGTGACTGATGAACAAAAAAAACGTTATTTTAGAGCCTGGAATGTCTGCATTGTTCATTCTGGACCTTATTTTGAAATTGTCATATTTTTTAGTTTTCGTGAAATTGGCCAAATTGCAAACTTCTGACCACATTATTAGGTAGTTGAAATCAGTAAATGGGCAGTTTCTTGTACTCAATCGATAGAAAAAATCAAGTTCTAAAGAAATAGCTATGAGTTTGGGCGACTAGAACAATGGAATTAGCCGAAAATAGGGCTCAAAGTGGGCGAAATCGCCGATTTGAAAACAGCGCCGAGGTCGCTAACTTCGCGAGAGCATAATTCCGTCAGTTTTCCATCAAATTTCGTTTTTTTGGTGTCATTACAATCGGGAAAAGATTCTCTATCATTTCATAAGAAAAAATAATTTTTTTTTTTTTTAAATTTTGCGACACCAGGAGACACCTCAGGATTGGGGGTTGTGACAGTCAAAGGGTTAAATAATTGCACCAACCACTGCAAAACTATATCCCCACCTGCTTTTAACATTTCTATCTTTATCCCATCAATCCCGGCTGCCTTACCCCCTTTCATTTTACCTACTGCCTCACGAACTTTCCCCACACTCACAACTGGCTCTTCCTCACTCCTACAAGATGTTATTCCTCCTTGCCCTATACACGAAATCACAGCTTCCCTATCTTCATCAACATTTAAC